GAGCTCCTGATTCTCCAACCTTCACTTCTCAAGTTCTGAGATTATAGGTCTATGCTGCCACATCTGGTTTACAGGATTGCCTTAGGGTTTCTATTGCTGTGACAAGACACCATGACCACGGTGCTGGGGGATGTCTTTCTGTACACTGTGAATGTATGTTGTTCCCATTGGTTAATAAATAAGCTGCTCTGGCCTATGGAGAGTCAGGTTATAGCGAGGCAAGAAATCCAAGAGACAGACAGGAAGAAGAAAGGCAGAGTCAAGAGAGACTCCAGTCACCACTGAAGGAGAAGCAAGATGCCAGCAGACGGGTAACACCATGGCCACATGACAAAACATAGATTTATAGAAATGGGTTGACTTAAGATGAAAGAGCTAGCTGGCAAGCTGCTAAAGCCATAGGCCATATACAGTTTGTAAATAATATAAGTCTCTGTGTGTTTGTTTGGGTCTGAGCAGTTGCAGGACAGCAGGTGAGAGAGATCTGTTTGGACCATGGGGGGGGCGGGGGGCGGGGCTTACAGTTTCAGAAGTTTAGTCCATTATCATCATGGTACAACATGGTGGCTGCAGGCAGACATGGTGCTAGAGAGGGAGCTGAGAGTCCTGTTGACCCACAGTCAACAGGAAGTGAACTGTCTCACTGGGTGTGACTTGAGCATATATGAGGCCTCAAAGCCCCCCTCTACAGTGACACACTTCCTCCAACAAGGCCACACTTCCTTATAGTGCCTCTCCCTTTGGGGGCCATTTTCTCTCAAAACCACCACAGAGATACTACTCTGATTTTCTTCCTATCTAATTTTTATTTTATTGGTCTCCTTCCTTCCTTCCCTCCCTCCCTTCCTTCCTTCTCTCCTTCCTTTCTTCCTTTCTTTTTGAGTGTATGTGCATGCAGGTACACTTGTGTGTGCACCTACGCTTGTATTGAGACTGACACTTTCTACTGTGTGTGTGCATGTGTCTGTGGGGTTTTGTTTTTTGGTTTTCCAAGACAGGGTTTCTCTGTGTAGTTTTGGTGGCTGTCCTGGAACTCGCTCTATAGACCAGGCTGGCCTCGAACTCACAGAGATCCGCCTGTCTCTGCCTCCTGAGTGCTGGGATTAAAGGCGTGTGCCACCACTGTCCAGCTCTATGTATGTATTTTTTTTTTAATTTATTTATTTATTATGTATACAGTGCACATATCCCTGCACGCCAGAAGAGGGCACCAGATCTCATCACAGATGGTTGTGAGCCACCATGTGGTTGCTGGGAATTGAACTCAGGACCTTTGGAAGAGCAAGCAGTGCTCTTAACCTCTGAGCCATCTCTCCAGCCCCTCTATGTATGTATTTTAAAGCAACGATTCTTTGATGAAACTTGAGCTCACCAATTGATTAGACCGGCTGACCAGTGAGCCCCAGGGAACGCCCATGTCCAGCCTCTTACATGGGTCCTGGGGTTCCACGCTCAGGTCTTCACGTTTGTATGACAAGCACTTTCCCTGCTGAGCCATGTCCTTGGCTCCGGGCATTTGGTTTTTGTTTTTGTTGTTTTTCCTGGCAACTGTGTCTACCCCATGTAGTCCAGACCTTTGTACTCTTCCTCTGAGGAGTTTGTCCACACATCTGTCTATGTAGGACATGTGCCTGGTGCTCGGACAGGTCAGAGGAGGGTGCCAGATGCCCTGGAATTGGAGTTACTGATGGTTCTGAGCCCCATGTGGGTGCTGTGAATTGAATCTGGGTCCTCTGCAAGAACAGCCAGTGCTCCTAACCCCCAGCCATCTCTCCAGCCCCTAGACTTTTAGTATTCCCACTCCTCCTGCCTCCATCCCCCAAGTGCTGGAATTCCACACAGCACCACACACATCGTCCTTTTTCAGGATCCTAGGATGTGCCTATAGCCTTTTGTAATGGACACTAAATTATGTCATCGAGTCACCCCCGTGTAATAATAACACACTTCTAACTAGGACCAGCTATTGATCCCAGTTCCCATCCCTGCTCCCTGCCTCAAGGTTTTGAATCCCAAGTCAGATTATTCAGTGACAGAAACATTCATATTGGCACTCACTCCAACAGCAGAGTAGTCCCTGCTACCTCCAGTTCTGCAGCACCCTTGATTCTAGTTCCAAATTTAATTCTCTAAATTTCCCATCATTTCTGAGAGTCACTCATCTTTCCAATAAATTCCCTTTTTGCTTACATTAGCTGAGTCAGTTCTTTGGCTTGGAGCCAAAAAAAAAAAGAACCCCAACCCCCAGAGCGCACACACAGAGATGCAGCTACCTCCCTGGCTCACAGGACCATACCCTGTATGTTTTCTCCTCTCTCCACAGTGAAATCCTTCTTCTCCTGCTACGGTGCACCCCCTCCTACCTCTCAAGAAGCATGCCCACACACTTCAGCTCCAGAAGAAGCGTCCTCTCCTCTCTCCAGCTCCTGGGCCTCTCTCTCACCACCGTCATGGACTGGTGCGCACTGAACGTTAACTGTTTTTTAGTTAAACATGTGCATTCACGTCTCCCACAAGATCCTAAGGGTTTTTGTTTGTTTTCGAGGAGGAACTTGCAGCATCTATCACTGATGGGTTGAACTCAGGTCCGCAGACTTGGTGGGAAGTACCTTTACCTGCTGAGCCATCTGTCCCCTTCCCTCTTTTTTTTAAAATTCTGCATACAGCAAGAAAACAGTGGGTGCGGGCTGGAGAGATGGAGCAGCGGTTAAGAGCACTGGCTGCTCTTCCAGAGGACCTGGGTTTGATTCCAGCACCCACACGGTGGCTCACAACCATCTGTAACTCCAGGCCTAGGAGATCCAGTGCTCTTCTCTGGCCTCCATGGGCACTGCATGCATTGGTGCACAGACATACCCTGCACATAAAATAAATGCACACTTTAGAGAGAGAGCAGCAGGCTAAGCAGCAACGAGAGTCCCACCTGCAGTCCACTTCTCTCTCTCTTTTGGTGCCAAACAACTTTAATTTTTACCCACCCCCCCTTCCTTTTCTTATGAACTAGTGACAGCTGTTAGATGTAAACAGCTGATGAGAATCATCGACTACAATGTAAACCAGAGGCCAGGAAGTGAGGTCTAGGGCTTTGATGCCTCCACATTGCATCTGTAGCCTCAGTGACTACTTCTGCATTCTGGAGGTCTCAAGTTCCCCCAGTGCATTACTGTTTACAACTTGGAAGCCGCCTGACAACGAAATGCTAAGTGCTGTAATAAGAACTCTGTCATAAAAACAAACCAGGCAAACAGTCATTAGAACAAGTTCCAGGAAGAAGAAGGAAGGAGAGGGTTATCTTTTTGTGTAACTTGTTGGGATGCCATCCATACATTGCTTTATTCATTTTGTTCTTTGACAATTTCATACATGTATATATATTGATTAATCTCCCCCCAGAGACTCTCATCTCCCTCCCTCCCCTCATCAAGTGCCCCCTCCTCTCTACCAGTTCTTTCACAGATTCATGACTTTTGGTTTTTTTGTTTTGTTTTGGTTTGGTTTTGGTTTTTCGAGACAGGTTTTCTCTGTGTAGTTTTGGTGCCTGTCCTGGATCTCACTCTGTAGACCAGGTTGGCCTCGAACTCACAGAGATCCACCTGCCTCTGCCTCCCGAGTGCTGGTATTAAAGGCATGCGCCACCTGGTGACTTTTGGTCTTTTTTTGGGGAGACCCATTCATTTAGTTTAACCAGGGTCAACTGTATGACCACTGAATTGGAACTACCCACCAGAGCCTGGTGGGGGCACAAGTAGGTATACAACTAAAGACAAAATTTCCTGCTTCAGCAGGGAATAGTTCAGCAGTCTTCCAGCCAAGCTTGACTGACAGGTCCAGTCATCTTGGGAGTTTGGGTTGTGATGGCTGTCTTGCCCAGATGATATCTGTAGCCCGTCTGTCTCTGGCTCTTTTGTTGTTGTTTTGTTTTAATTTTTCAGACAGGGGTTTTCTGTGTAACATCTGTCCTGGAACTCACTCTGTAGACCAGGCTGGCCTCGAACTCACAGAGATCCGCCTGCCTCTGCCTCCCGAGTGCTGGGATTAAAGGCATGCACCACTGCTGCCACCACCACCTGGCCTCTCTCTGGCTCTTGATCTTTTTCTACCTCCTGTTCTGCAATGTTCCCTGAGCCTTAGAGGAAATGGTAGAAATGTCTTGTTTAGGGCTGGGATCCAACACCCTCCTCTGGCTTCTGAGCATACATGGCGCACAGACATACATACAGGCAAAACACTCGTGCACATAAAAGAAAAACAAATAAAAAACTTAAAACTTTCATTTAAAAGTTCTTTTCCTTTTTTAAAATGTTATTCATTTTTATTTTATGTATGAGTGCACTGCATGTATAACTATATGTCAGAAAAGGGCATCAGATTGTATTATAAATAGTTGTGAGCCACCATGTGGTTGCTGGGAATTAACTCAGAATCTCTGGAAGAGCTGCCAGTGCTCTTAACCACTGATCCATCTCTCCAGCCCTAAAAGTTCTTTTTCATTTAAGAGCATTTCATTTAGTTTGTTTTGTTGCTGAGACGGGTTTCCTTTGCCCAGGCAGGCTTTGAACTCACTACAGAGCTGAGAATGATCTTGAATTTTGGATCCCCCTGCTTCTTCCTCCTAAGTGCTAGGATTACAGAGTTGGGCCGCTACACCCTGCTTTGGGTCTGGAATCTGAGAGGGAACACTAATTCCTTCAGTGACACTCATAAAACAACTGGTTGTCGTTGCTGTTCCTGGACTATCCCTGCATCTTCAAGGTGCAGTAACAGTCCTGTAACAGGTGGTAGGCAGATTTTAAAAATTAATGAAGCATGGTCTTCCCATGAAACCTAGGCTGGCCTCCAACGGCTACCCTCCTTCCTAACTTCCCAAAGGCTGGGATCAAAGGTGTGCACCACTGTGTCTAGCTAGAATATGGATTTCTAAACAAGACTCCAGACCTAGGAATTTAGATATTACTCTAAAATTTCCACAATCTCACACAAAAAGGGAAAAAGAGAGATGATCTGATGCAAAAGCAGGTTTATTGGTTGTTTTACACAAAAGAGTAAGAGTGATTTCTGAGCACTCAACACAAAAGACCCTTTTTCGAGCTGTCTTTCTTTTACTCTGAGAAAATGTAACAGCTCTAGGCAAATACAATGGACTCAAACTTTACATTTCCACAAAAGGGATAACAAAGAAGCCAGCACCTCTGCTTTGTTAGGAAAGTGGACAAAACCTTAAGGTTAATGAGATATAAAGAAGATTGAGACTGAAACCTATAATGACATTACTTATTCTCAGGCTAGAATACAATAGACAAAAATTCACAATTCAAGTAATATCTTAAGGAGAAAAGTACTGGTGAAGTTGGATGAGAAACATTTTTTAACCTATAAATAAGGGTTTTTAGATTTACTTCATTCTAAAGGCCAAAAAATAACCCAAACCCAAACAAACATAAAAATACAGCTTGTTTTTTGGTGATGCTGCAGACTGAACCCATGGCCTGTGCAGGCTGCACCAGTTCTACCATCCACAGGAGCTGCCCACAATATTCCTAAACTAGATTCTTCCAGATACTGAGCACAAGCATTTTTCAATTCTTCAAATCCTTGAAACCTAAATTATGAGAAGTGATTACTCAGGCTACTGGGAATATTTCTGCATATCAGAAGTTTGACTTGGTCCATTATTTCACTTATTCCTTCCATCCTAATCCAGACACCGAGAAGAAGCACTAACTGAAGGCCATCATTTTCCCAGAAGCCCTGTGGCTGAGACCTAACCACCCTACCTACCCCAGGAGAAATACATGGACCCTGTTGGCAGGGTAGATGAGTCCCCTTCATGGACTCCAGCAGCCAACCGTAAATCCTAAAACAGATTTGGAGATGGACTTATCCATGAATCTGTCTTCTCCAGCGCTGGGCAGGGTGGAAGTGTAGAAATCAGAGCGTTCTCAGGAAGAGGGAAGGTGTCACTTGGTGCCCCCCAGCTTTCTGGGGGAAGAGAAGGAGACACCAAAGAGTCTTGATTTGGGCTTCTCAAAGCTCCCTTATTTTCCACCATCAGCAACTGTTCTATCTCCTCCTTCAAAGAAAAATGTGACTGAAACGCATGCGTGGGAGTCAGGGAGCGAGCCTTCTGGGTTCTCAGGTCTTCTGGCCCCCTTGACTCCCAACACATTGGTTTGTTCTCAGAATCCTCACTGGCTTCGTCTTCCTTCATGGGAGGCAGAATTTGAGAATTTGCTGTGGTTTCTTTAGAGTCTCTATCCAAAAAATTCTCATCCTTATAAGATCTGTGACATAGAAAGTGTGGAGCTTTGTCTACGTCCGAAGTTTTACAAACTAAAAAGCCTCCGGCTGGGCCCTCTTTCCCTGGTGTGCGACCGGCTGGTGTCTTTGGATGCAGCACCGTCCTTATGAGGAGGCCCTGCGCATTCATTCTGTACTCCTTCGCAGCTCGCTCCCGGCGCTGCTTCTGGAAGTCCTTGAGTTGAAGAAGCTCCTCTGGCAGCTCCATACACTCAGGCTGGGAAAGCAAACAAGCACAGGTTTGCAAACATGGTCCCAATCACCCCTGAGGAGAACAGGCACGTGAGTTTATCCAAATGTGTTCCTGTAGTGCCCTCTAGTGTTTCCAATATAATACTACTTTAAAATTTTGATTGTATTGTTTTGAGTAATTTAAGTATTTAAGAAAATTAAATATTTGTGTGTGTGTGTGTGTGTGTGTGTGTGTGTGTGTGTGTGTGTGTGTGTGTGTATGTGTGTGTAAATACAGGAAATATGTTTCCCAGCCTGGCTTAAGTTGGCTTAGAAAGTGCACCCTCTGAAAAGCTTTAATACCCAGGTACAGTCAGTGTACACATGATCTCAGGGGTATGTGTGTGTGCTCATGCGCCTGACTTAGTAAATGTTTGTCTGCATTGGATGACACTGGATGTGTGTGGTAACTGGGATTCCACTCAGGCTTTATGATAAGGTAGACTAGTACTCTACCAGTGATCCCAAGTCCTAGATTACATGTCAACCCCCTCAAGCATGAATTTTTATAACTTTCTAAAATTATTCTACCCATATGGTAACATAGTTTTACATATTTTTTCAGTATCTTTTGGGGGCAGGGTCTCACCATGTAGCTCAAAATAACCTTGCACTTCCTATGTAACCCATAGTTGCCTGGAATTCACCATAATCTGACCTTATTCTCCTAAGGACTAGAATTACAAGTATGTACTACTGCTATGGTATATTCACATATTTGGGGGGAATTTGCTGCTGTTTGTTTTAAGACAGGGTCTCATGTAGCTCAGGCTGGCATAGAATTCACTATGTAGTTCCAGATGACCTTAAAATTCTGATCTTCCTGTGTGCTGGGATTACAGGTATGAGCCACCATGCCCAGTTTATGTGGTTGTAGAGATCAAACTCAGGACTTTATGCGTACTAGGCAAGCACTCTACCAAATGAGTTACACACCCAGCTCTACTATCCTCTTATTTTTAATTAAAAAAAAAAAATCTGTCTGAGCCTGGCAGTAGTGGAGGACGCCTTTAATCCTAGTACTCGGGAGGCAGAGGCAGGCAGATCTCTGTGAGTTTGAGGCCAGCCTGGTCTACAGAGCGAGTTTCAGGACAGCCAGGGCTACCCAGAGAAACCCTGTCTTGAAAAACTAAAGGGGGCAGGGGTGGAAAAAGTAAAAAACAGCAGAAAATACACGTTGATCTCTGTTCTCCATAAACTCAAGCACAGTCTAGCACTCCACATATGGGTTACAAACATGTATACACCACACAGACATGCATGCACATGACACAGACACACACATACACAATGTATCAATCTCAACATGGTGGCACATGCTTGTAATCCTAGCTCTTGAGAGGTGGAAGCAGGAGAATCAGGAGTTCAAGATCATCCTTAGATATATAGTAAGTTCAAGGTCAATCCTGGATACATAACACTTTGTTGAAAAAACAAAACAAGGAGGTAGAGAAAAGACTCATTGGTTAAGAGAAACTGTTGCTCTTCTGGAGGACCCAGGTTTGGTTCCCAGCACCCACATGATGGCTCACAACTATCTGTAACTCGTTTCTGGAGATCTGGTGTCCCTGCCGGTCTCCATCCATACTCCCTCCCACGCAGCAGCGTGCGCGCGCGCACGCACACACACACACACACACACACACACACACACACACTCTCTCTCTCTCTCTCTATATATATATATATATATATATATTTTTTTTTTTTTTAAAGACAAAAAAGGGGATCTAGGTTGTAGCTCAGTTGGCAGGATACTTGTCTAGCATGAGTGAAGCCCTGAGTTTGATATGTATCATTACAAAAACAGGGCATAGTGGCACATGCCTGCAGCCCAGCACTGCCCAGGTGAAGGCAGAAGGACCAGGAACTCAAGGTCATCCTCGTTACATAGCACGTTTGAGGAAAGCCGGGGACACATCAGTCCTTGTTGGAGAAAAAGAGGGTTGAGCACAAGGCTATCCCATGAAAGTTGCTGTATTTGTGAAGAGTAGGTGTCACAGTCAAATCTGGCGTCCCAAGACTGTAATCCCAGCTGCTCCAGAAGGAGGCAGGACAGAGATCAAGGCCATCTTAGACAACTTGGTCAGACCTTCTCTTAAAACAAAAATTTAGAAAGGGCTGTGCATGTAGTTCATTAGTCGGGGGTTTGCTGAGAATGTATGAGGTCTTCTGTTTGATCCCCACCACTGCAAACGCACAAACCAACAGTGGAGAGAGGAAGAGACAGAGAATACACAACACACCCACAGAAAGCTGCACTTACCTCTGTGCCTGCAAGCCGGTCTGCAGAAGCTTCTCGATAGGTGTTTAGGTATCCATCCACCAGTGTGGTTAGGTCCGACATCATCCCATCCAAGAGTACCAAGCGGAGTGGAAGCAAGCAGGCTGTTTCCAGGGCCAAGATTTTCAATAAAGCGGGTGGAAGAGGCCTTGTCAACCATACTTCTGGATTCTCCTAGAGAAAGTAAAACCATTTTCCCCCAAGACAAGGTTTCTTTGTGCAACAGTTCTGGCGGGGATTAAAGGTGTGCACCACCACTGACCAGTCAGTTTTAATTAGTAGTAAGTAAAATTAAGCCAGGTGGTACACAGTGTCGCCTCGGCTACACAGTGAGACCCTGCCTTGAAAAAAAAAAAAACAAAAACCAAATAATTTAAAACACTGCCAATGTCATCTACTAATCTCTACTTTCTCATTGTCAGTAACCTCTGAGCAGGTACATGCACCCCATATATACAGTGTCTGTGAGTTCTTGCAGCCACAAGAATATATTATAGAGATTCAGCTGTGTATTAAAAGCTATACCTTGACCGGCCAAGGGTACTGTCAAGAGGCAAGCCATTTATTATGAATATTTGGTGCTATCCAGCCTTTAATATTCCAGGGGTCTTCTACTTTGAATTTCTGTGTGGCCAAATATTTTCAGACCTGGCTAAACTTCTAGGTAACTTCCCTGCTGAGCCAGTACCTGGATAAGGTCATATAAGCAAAGAAAAGCTGGCAGGAAATGCATAGCTTTGTTTCTTGTGCAAATGAAGCTCAGGCCATCCTCCTAACCGGAGGCCCAGTGGCTCTCCAGAGCAACTGACTGAGAACAAAAGAGGTTTTTACATATTAAGATGAGAGGTAGAATAACATTCCTGAGGAGTCAGAGAACCGCATGCCCAGGGAAAGAAAGGGCAGGCATTTTCTGTAGAAATGGACAGAAAGGCATGTCGAGAGATAAGAGAGGAAGACAGGTTCCATAGAGAATAAGCAGCTCTCGGGTAGAGTTTTCTGAGTGCCAGGAGCAGAGAGTAGCAGAGATGGAGAAAGAGGATACAGAGGACGAAGATGAGGCTGGAAGCATAGGAGTTAGTCATTAGCAGGACTATGAGCTAGGGAGTTGGACAGAACTGAAGCTATGGAAACAGGATTTCTTTCATCCCAGAGAAATAAAGTAGACAGATAAAGAGCTTGGTATGTCTAGAGTTACTCCTGCCTTTAGTGCCTGGTGGAGCTATTGCTGTATTGATAGAATTTTGTCTTAGAGGAATAAAATTAACGGACATAACAACATAGTGTATGTAGATTTTTTTCCCTTAGATATCCCACGCCAGACATGGATAAACCCTGGGACCCCTGGGGTACCCTAAAGTGAGTCAGAGAAAAGTAGGGTTGGGAGGGAGGCTGGTACATTAGGATTTCTCGCTCAAAGTTTGAGGATGCAAGCCAGCCATACAGCTTGCCTACTATGTCTAGGACCCTAGGTTTCATTGCCAGTACCACAAAAGCTCACAAAGTTGGAGGGAGGGCTTGGAGTATAGTATAGCTCAATGACAGAGCACTTGCCTATCATATACAAAGTCCTGAGTCAATCCCTGGCACCACTGAAGGGAAAAATGCTAGATTTTAGCAATGACCAACTTTGTAGGTAATACACTCACAACCCAGGTTTGCATGTAAGGATATTATACACTGTGGTGATTTGAAAGAAAATGGCCCCCAACGTGAGCAGCACTACTAGCCACTATGGCCTTGTGGTCTTGTTTGAGGAAGTGTGTCACTGTGGAGGCTGGCTTTGAGGGTCTCATATGCTCAAGCCATGCCCAGTGTCTTAGTTCACTTCCTGTTGCGTGCAAGATGTAGGACTTTCAGCTACTTCTCCAGCACCATGGCTGCCTGAATGCTGATAATGGACTAATTCTCTGAAAATGTAAGCCATCGCATTACTTTTTCCTTTTTTAAGAATTGCGGTGGTCATGTGGTCATGGTGTCTCTTTATACCAATAGAGACACCCTAAGACAGATGTTGGTACCAGGAACTGGGGTATTGCTGCGAAAGGCCTGACCATGCTTTTGTTTAGAGGAATTTGGACTCTGGGAGTTTGGCTTAGGGAAGCAGTGGGATGCTTTATGTGCTGCTTAATGGGCCATGCTAGTAGGAGCATGGAAGACTGTGGTGCTAAGAGTGATCTGAACTGTGGGAGGCTGGCTCAAGAGGTTTCAGAGGAGAAGAATTTTAGTATGTTGCCTAGAAACTATTCTCAGGATATTTTGATAAAGAATGTGGCTGCTTTTTGCCTTTGTACGAAAAGTTTGCCTGAGGTTAAAGTGAAGAGTTTTAGATTAATTCCCTTGGCAGAGGTAATCTCAAAACAGCCTAGTATAGACTCTATTTTATGGTTACTAGTGTTAAGTCCAATGAAGATTTATAATGAAAAGGAGCAAGGTGAGCACAGGAAAATATTTGAGGAGAAAAAGAGCATCAGAAAGTGGAATGGAACTAAATCCTGTGTTCAAGGAAATAACTGGATTAAGAAATGTAATAAAGGGAGTGGTGATCTCAGAGCAAGATTCCACCCAGCTAAATTTCCAATTTGTGAAAAGAAATTAAAGAAAAAATTGGAGCCAGGTGTGATGGCACACACCTTTAATCCCAGCACTTAAAAGGCAGAGGCTGGCAGATCTCTGAGTTTGAGGTGGTCTATAAAGCAAGTTCCAGAACAGCCAAGCTTAGGCAGTGAAGGAAACTATCGGAAAACAGAAAGCTGGTGAAGATGTAATTGAACAAAAGGGCCATGTTCCAGCCCCAGTAAGCAGCAGAACTTGGCAGCTTTGGCCACGTGGTTCTAGCTTCAAGGATAGAAGAAAGGCATTATGGAATCTCCCTCTGTGACTAAGGAATGCTGCTGAGGCCAGGTATATATCGGGGTGTCCCTGAATGGAGGCCTAGAGGAGCCATTGCACAAAGCTGTGAAGGTGGAGCCTGGATTGCCTTGGAGACCCCAAGATGTTGGAGATGCCAGAGCCATGGGATACCTGTAGAGAAGAACTGCTAACAGGGAGGGGAAACAGCCCAAGAGGAAGACGAGCGTTGCAGTTCACAAAGCTGGAGGTGGAGATCTGAAGAGCATTTTGGCATCATACATGGAAATGCAGAGTTTGGAGTTTGCTCAGCTGGTTTTTGGTCTTGCTCTGGTCCAGTATTTCCACACTATGCTCCCTTCTCTGCATTTTGGAATGGTAATGTATATCCCGTGTCATTTTATGTTGAAAGTACGTGATCTGCTTTTTTATTTTTATTTTATAGGGGATTATAGTTAAGAGACTGCATGAATCTCAGAAGAGACTTTGAACTTAAGACTTTTTAGACTATGGGGACTTTTGTAGTTGGACTAAATGCATTTTTGCATTATGATATGGCTACAAGCCTTCGGGGGCCAGGAAGTGGAATGTGGTTTGAAAGAAAATGGTCCCTCAAAGGGAGTGGCACCATTAGGAGGTGTGACCTTGTTGGAGTAGATGTGATCTTGTTGGAGGAAGTGTGTCACTGTGGAGGCTGGCTTTGAGGTCTTATATATGCTCAAGCCATGCCCAGTGTCTCAGTTCACTTCCTGTTGCCTGCAAGATGTAGGACTCTCAGCTACTTCTGCAGCACCATGCCTGTGTGCATGCTGCCATGTCCCGCCATGATGATAATGGACTAAACCTCTGAAAATATAAGCCACCCCATTACATGTTTTCCTTTATAAGAGCTGCTGTGGTCATGTGGCCATGGTGTCTCTTCACAGCAACAGTACCCTAACTAAGACATGCACTAAAGAAAATTTATATAGCTTTGGGAAAAACAACTAAGATGATTTTGGTTCCAATGTCTTAATTCAAATTTCTGTAAAAGCTTACCCATCCCAACTTGAAAATTTATTTCAGAGTACTTTTTTTTTTTGGTTTTTTGAGACAGGGTTTCTCTGTGTAGTTTTGGTGCCTGTCCTGGATCTCGCTCTGTAGACCAGGCTAGCCTCGAACTCACAGAGATCCACCTGGCTCTGCCTCCCAAGTGCTGGGATTAAAGGTGTGCGCCACCATCACCCGGCCTTTCTTTTCTTTTTAAATTTATTTATTTATTATATATACAGTATTCTATCTGCATGTGTCCCTGAAGGCCAGAAGAGGGCACCAGATCTCATTACAGATGGTTGTGAGCCACCATGTGGTTGCTGGGAATTGAACTCAGGACCTCTAGAAGAGCTCCAATGCTCTTAACCTCTGAGCCATCTCTCCAGCGCTCAGAGTACTTTTTAACTTATAATAAAAACATCTGGATTCTGGTTTCTGTCCCCTTGGAACCACGAACTGCTCCTCCCTGGCACAGCTAAGGCTCTGCCAGTGCCTAGGCTTGCATGGCAGCTGTCACTTCCCCATCACATGGGCTGACAGTCCTGTGCAGAGCACGCCAGGAGTTCAAATGACACATCTTTTAACACTTACCTGAACACGTTTTCGTCTCTCTTCTAAAAAGGAGAGATATTTAGGGGCAACTTTAAGGTGTCTGATTAAACTCTCCTGCAAAGTACTGATACAATTCGGAAGAAAACCACCCGTTTCCATGGAAAACTGAAGGACATCTGCTACCTAATGTATGAAACAGAAAACAATTAACCCCACAACAACAACAAATGAAAATTAAGCAACACACAGAAAACTATCTCATGTCAGAAATACTCTGAGAGACTTAGCTGTAAGGGCTGGGATGTAGCTCTGCTGGTGCCATACTTGCCTAGCATGCCCCAGGCCCTGGGCTCCACCCCACCAAAAACTAGACTTTCTGGTACAAGCCTGTAACCCCAGTACTTGGGAGGCAGAGACAAGAGGATCATCATCTAGGACATGGGAAATTGGAGGCCAGCCTGGACTACATGAGGTGAGAAAGAGACAGAAACATACAGAGAGAGAGAGAGAAAGAGAGGGAGAGGTGTTTAAATTCCATTTGCCCTGAGGTCATGGCCACGGATGCCACAGGTAAATTCAAAGCAGGTCAGTCAACTTATTTTGAAAAGAAAACAATCAAGCTAGGAGATTACACAGCTCTGCATTGTTTATTTTCTTCTCTCTTTTTGTTATTACACTTTGGTGCTTTTGGAGAATGGGGAAAAAAGAATTTAAGATTTTTTTTCTTCAGAAGAGAAGAAGCAAGTTTATATAACATACACCAAGGATGCAGTAGGCAGGACAAAGGCAGCAGAACTAGCTGCTCAAGAATTGAGTTTCTTACTTAACAGCCACTCTGGCAACATCTTGGTAAGGAACACGAATAAAATTAAGAATTGCTACACTGGGCTGGGGAAACAGCTCAGTGAGCAAAACATGTGTCATGCATGTGTGAGAATCTGAATCAGATCCCTAGAATCCACATAAAGCAAGACTTGGCAGATCCGATTCCTATCTGAATCCCAGGGCTCGCTCCTAGGTCAAGAGAGGAGGCAGAGACAGGAGGGTTCCCACAAGCTCACAGGCCATCTAGCCTGGTGTGTGCAGCCGTGAACAGCAAGAGACCGATGCAAAAGGAAAAGCAAGGACCCACGCCCAAGGCTGTCTCCTGACCTCCACATGTGCACACGGCCCTTTGTGCCTGCACCCACATGTACATGAACACGTATCACAAATGCTACAGGCTGGATAATGACTCTATCTATCTATGCCTATGCTGGGTATGGTGGAGCTTGCTAGTAATCCCAGTGTTTGGGAGGCAGAGGCAGAGAATCGGGGACTTCAAGGTCATCCTCAGTTTGAGGCCAGTCTGGGTGACATGAGACCCTGTCTTTAAAACGACAAAAAACAAATCTATTTCTTAATTCCTAGACTCTAAGTTTCCTAAAATGAATTATTCTAAATCATTTGAGTAGGTCCTAAATAAAATCAAATGTTTTGTTCTGATACAGGGTCTTAAAATGTAGCCCAAGCTGGCTTAGAACTACATAACTGAGGCTGGCTTGGCAGGGTGGCCCCCTCACTTTGGTTCCCCCACGTTGGAACTGTGGGCGTGGGCGTGTGTTGTCATACCCAGCTCACATGGGCTTTTTTTTTTTTCCCGAGACAGGGTTTCTCTGCGTAGCTTTGCACCTTTCCTGGAACTCACTTGGTAGCCCAGGCTGGCCTCGAACTCACAGAGATCCACCTGCCTCTGCCTCCCGAGTGCTGGGATTAAAGGCGTGCGCCACCACCGCCCGGCTTCACATGGGCTCTTTTAAAGTCACAGATGGAGAGTGAACCAGAGTGGAGCAGAGGGGAAGGTGACAGGAGCAGATGACAGGGTGCTTTTACTTTCCATCTGGGTGGGGCACATGCATGCTGTCTGGCCCTTGTGAAGGCCACAAGACGACTTGTGGGAGTTGCTTCTCTCCTTTTATCATATGAGTTGTAAGAACTGGGCTCAGGATTGGCAGCCAACGCCGTCATCTGGTGAGACAGCTCGTCAGCCCTACTTTTTCTTTATTTCCTCCTTCCTTTTTTAATTTTTATTTTTTATTATCAGCTTGATACAGTACAAATTCTTATCCTAATAGTGAAATGTTTCACTGAAGTTTGCCCAGTGATTGGGTAAAACCAAAACTTATTATAAGTCACAGTCATCCTAGGGTCCCCCCTGCTACATAGCCTCCCTGGATCTGTGGGTTGCAGTCTGATTGTTCTTTGCTTTATATCTAGAATCCACTTATGAGTGAGAACATACCATGTTTGTCCTTCTGGGTTTGGGTTACCTCAGTCAGGATGGTATTTTCTAGTTCCATCCATTTGCCTGCAAATTTCATGCTGTCATTGTTTTTCTCTGCTGAGTACTCCATTGTGTATATGTACCACATTTTCTTAATCCATTCTTCAGTTGAAGGGCATCTAGGTTGTTTCCAGTTTCTGGCTATTACAAACAATGCTGCTATGAACATAGTTGAGCATATATCTCTGTGGTATGATTGAGCATTCCTTGGGTATATGGCCAAGAGTGATATGGCTGGGTCTTGAGGTAGATTGATTCCCAATTTTCTGAAAACCCGCCATTACTGATTTCCACAGTGGTTGTACAAGTTTGCATTCCCACCAACAGTGGAGCAGTGTTCCCTTTGCTCCCATCCTCTCCAACATTGACTGTCATTAGTGTTTTTGATCATAGCCATTCTGACAGGTCTAAGGTGGTATCTCGGAGTCATTTTGATTTGCATTTCTCTGATGACTAAGGATGTTGAGCATTTCCTTAAATGTCTTTCAGCCATTTGAGATTCTTCTTTTGAGAATTCCATTTAGCTCTTTAGCCCATTTTTTAATTGGATTGTTTAGTATTTTGATGTCTAGTTTCTTGAGTTTTTTATATATTCTGGATATCAGCCCTCTGTCAGATGTGGGGTTGGTGAAGGTCTTTTCCCATTCTGTAGGCTGTCTTTTTGTCTTATTGACTGTGTCTTTTGCCCTACAAAAGCTTCTCAGTTTCAAAAGGGCCCATTTATTAATTGTTGTACTCAGTGTCTGTGCTACTGGTATTATATTTAGGAAGTGATCTCCTGTGCCAATGCATTCAAGAGTACTTCCTACTTTCTCTTTTATCAAGTTCAGTGTAACTGGATTTATGTTGAGGTCTTTGATACACTTGGACTTGAGTTCTGTGCACGGTGACAGATATGGATCTATTTGTAATATTTTACATGTTGACATCCAGTTATGCCAGCACCATTTGTTGAAGATACTTTCTTTTTTCCATTGTATAGTTTTGGCTTCTTTGTCAAAACTATACAGTGCTTTTGGTTTTTTGAGACAGGGTTTTCTGTGTAGACCCGGCTATCCTGGAACTCACTCTGTAGACCAGGCTGGCCTCGACCTCACAGAGATCTGCCTTCCTCTGCCTCTCAAGTGCTGGCATTAAAGGCATGCGCCACTATGCCCGGCTCCAACTTTTTCTTTTACCTTTGTTTTCTAAGAATTATTTATTTAGAGATAGGATCTTACGTAGTAACCCTGACTATCCTGGAACTCACTCTATAGACCAGGCTGGCCTCAAACTCACAGAGATCCACCTGCCTCTGCTTCCTAAGAAGTGGGTTAAAGGCAATCACCACTCATAGCCTGAGGCTTATTTTTAATTTTTTAAAGATGAATCTTTTTTTTTTTTTTTTTTTTTTTTTGGTTTTTTGAGACAGGGCTTCTCTGTGTAGCTTTGCGCCTTTCCTGGAACTCACTTGGTAGCCCAGGCTGGCCTCGAACTCACAGAGATCCACCTGGCTCTGCCTCCCGAGTGCTGGGATTAAAGGCGTGCGCCACCAACGCCCGGCTACGATGAATCTTTTTATTTCATGTGTATGAGCATTTTTCCTGCATGTATGTATGTATGAGCACTAAGTGTATGCCTGTAGACTGAGGAGGCCAGAAGAGGGCACCAGATCCTCTGGAATTTTGAATTATGGGTCGCTGTAAGCCACTATGCAGTTGCTAGGAATCAAACTCATGTCCTCTGCAAGAGAAGCACGTGCTTTAACCCCTGAGTCACCTCTCATACTCTTTATGTATATGTACATGTCTATGTTACTGCATGTACATGTGTGTACAGATGTTTGCAACTGTGTGTGCAAGTGAAGGCCAGAAGGGGACAGTGGGAGTGTCCTCCATCACTCTCTGCCTAGTCTTCTGAGGCAGGGTCTCTTTTTTTTTCTGAAACCTGGGGCTTGTGGCTTCCTGGGAGTCGGCTGGGAGTCGGCAAGCTGCAGTGAGCCTGCTATCTCTGCCTCCCTCAGAGCTGGCGCTACAGGTGCTCACGGGGACACTCAGCTTGTTATGTGGGTGCTGGGACCCTAATATGACCCTCACCATTACAGCAAGCATTTTTAACTGATGAACCATTTATCCAGTATTGCACACATACATACACACACATCCCCCCCTCCTTTTTTTTTTTAAGTTTTTGAGACAGGGCCTTATGTGGTCCAGGCTGGCCTTGAACACTAGGTAGCTGAGACTGGTCTTGAAACCCCGAATCTTCCTGCTTCCTATCAACAGAATGACATACTCTGAAGAGGGAGAAAGGAGTCACAAAGCAATGAACATGTGTGGCCTCTAGCTCCTGAGAAACGCAGTGGAGCCCAGAGGTGAAAACTCAGTAGTTCCGGGTCATCCTTGGCTACAGAGTTTGAGGTCAGGGCTACATGAATCCCGTCTCAAAAACAATCAAAGCCCTGCTAAATGTGCTGGGTTTGGTAGAGCAAGCCCATGATGCCAGCACTGCCTATGATGCCAGCACTGAGGATGCAGAAGACGGTGGATAGCTGCAAGTCTGAGGGCAGACTAGGCTGCATAGCAAGCATAAGCAGACCTACACAGAGAAACCCTGTCCAAAGGTTTTGTTCTTAAGCAAGGGAGCAGTCACTCCCAATAACCTCTCAAACAATCTTGCTGTCGCCCTGACTCTTACCCAGGAAAAGTGATGTGAGCCTTCTCATTTTCAGAACTGTAAGAGAATGAACTGAGGGAGCCAGGCCAAACTTGTGATCAGTTATATCAACAATGCTTGCCTTCTATGCAAGGTTTTGAGTTCATTCGAGAGCAAGGAAAACAATATTTATGACGATGGCTTCAGGGGAACAATGGGGACTCCTCTGAGACTTTGGGAGTAAGCATGGCGCAAGGGCAGTGTCAATACTGTATACTGAAAGAGTCTAAAAGAAGGCCCAAAGGAACTGCAAACATAAGAAATGGTACACACTTCATGAGTAGATACAGAGTAAAATGAGTCACATATTTAAACAAGAAATTGAACTTAGGAGTTGATCCTCAAAAATAATAATCAATCCCCAGCACCAAAGGACAAAAAAGAAAGACCAAGGGAAGGGAGGGAAGGAAAGACGCAAGAACAGGAGGGAAAGAGAGAAACCACACTGGGACCAGTGGTTTTACTGCTTTCAGGATCAAATCGAAACCAAATGAGTTTTAAGAATGGGCTAGGCAAGGCATTTCTCATTTCCTTCCGGTCCCTTGCAAGAGTCCATTCAAATCTTATCAAGTTATTATTTTGAGCCAGGTAGGTTTTTTTCATTTTTAAGAAATAAGTTATTTACTTTGTCTTATATGTGTGTTCGCCTGCTTGCATGTGGGTGTACCATATGTACACTTGGTGTCTGTGGAGGTCAGAAGAGGGCATCAGTTCCCCTGGAACCAGAGTTACTGATGGATAAGTGGGTACCGGAACAAAACTAGAGTCTTCTGCAATAGCAACAAGTGCTCTTAACTACTAAGCCATCCTGATAGCCCCATAAATAGGGTTTTTTAAAAGGGGTGTAATAGTCTCAACAACCCACACCCCTGAGGTAAACACATGATAAAGGTGAGATGCTCTTTTTCACTTCATATTAAGTCTCCACATCAGACTTCTGAATGACCTTCAAATTTCTGAAGTTTCTGAATGTCATGGCATACCCAGCTTCCTTCTTACTTTTACAATTCTAGAGTAAAAAGAGAAGACTTCCTCCTAAGTGATTCTAAGTCACTTTCTATACAATTTTTATGGTTCTCACAAGTTATAGACATAATTTATGGAAGAAATGGGCAGGAATGGCCACCAGGAAAAACAGGCTCGATCTTTTATTTTTTAAGGTTCTCCCTGTGTAGCACTGGATGATGTGGAGCTCTTTATGTAGACCAAGCTGGCCTTCAACTCACAGAGAGCCACCTGCCTCTGCTTCTCAAATACTGGGAGCAGAGACATGTACCACTACACTTGGCACAATCATTTTTTAGACAGCGAATCTTAAACTAGGATCCATGTGTGCTGGATTTTCTCCAGCATCCCTTCATACCTGTGTGTCAAAGACATTGTTCAGCATGATTCCATACTGATGAGACAGGCAATCTGAAAGCCATCGACAATCATGGATAACCTGCGGAGTCAGAAGACAGGGAGTCATTAGGACCTACCCTAACCTCATCACTACAGGAATCAGCTTCTAATGCCCACCTTCAGGATTCTCTTATCTTCCAAAATCATCTGAAGTCCATTGTTGAAAGCACGAATTCCCAGAAGGAAAATATCAAACAAGTAAACTCGGCTGTTTGTGGCCACCTACAACAGATAATACCATGAAATGAGGAAAGACCACAGTAGGGATCTGAGGACCAAAAGCACAGGACACAGATGAAAATGGGGAGCATCCTCACTGTTAAGCTGGCAGCAGTCATTCAAATGATACAATGGGACTTAGGGTTGTGGCTCTGTGGTAGGGTGCTTGCTTAATATAGGTGAAATTCTGGATATCTCTGATTTGATATTGGTATCTTTGATACTGATACTGCAACAAATATGATGAAAGATACAATTACTAGGATTTTCAGAAGGAAAGAAAAGAGTAAACAGGTAAACTTGCTATGCCAAGCAGGAAAGCTTGATGGATTTTTTCTTTTTCTTTTAAGATACAGTAAGCATGATAAATATATGTATTCATTTCTATCGCTTATGATATTTACTCTTTATTCTTTCAAAATTCATACATGCATGCAATATATATTGATCATATTTACCCCTTACTCCTTACCTCCAACTCCCCCAAAACCCATCACATCTCCTTCACAACTTTATGTCCTCTTATTTTAATTTTTTTAATCCATTGAATCAAATTAGCACTGCACATCTACACTAGAACATGGAGTCATCCACTGGGGAAGGGACAACCTTCCATTGGCCCCACTCTTAAAGAAAAGTCGGGGTTAGAGATTTAGCTCAGTGGTAGAGCGCTTGCCTAGCAGGCACAAGGCCCTGGGTTTGGTCCTCTGCTCCAGAAAATTAAAACAAAAACAAAAACACCGTGCACTTTTGGTGCTGGAGAGATGGCTCAGTGGTTAAGAGTACTGGCTGCTCTTCCTAGAGGACCCGGGTTCAGTTCCCAGCAATCACATGGCAGCTCACAGCTGTTTGTAACTCCAGTTCCAGGGTACCCAACATCCTCATGCAGACAAAACACCAATGCACATAAATAAAATAATAATAATAAAATTATAAAAAAAAAAAGTCAGCCGGGCGGTGGTGGCGCACGCCTTTAATCCCAGCACTCGGGAGGCAGAGACAGGCAGATGTCTGTGAGTTCGAGGCCAGCCTGGTCTCCAAAGTGAGTTCCAGGAAAGGCGCAAAGCTACACAGAGAAACCCTGTCTCTAAAAAAACAAAAAAAAGAAAAAAAAAGTCACTCTCCCTTCCAGAACTTAACAACTGCTAACAAACAGGGGTAGGCCTTGGGAACCCCTTCCCTGAACACCAAATATTGTGTGTGTGTGTGTGTGTGTGTGTGTGTGTGTGTGTGTGTGTGTGCGCGCGCGCATGTGCATGAAGGCCAGAAGACAACATCAGGCATCAGCACCTTATTTACATTTATTTTTAGTTATTCTTGTGTGGAATGGGTAAGCGGGCATATGTGACACAGGACACGAGGTTGGGGTGACTTGTCAGGGTTGGTTTTCTTCTTTCACCATGTGGAGCTGGGGATCAAACTCAGTTTGGCAATCTTGGTAGCAAGCAATCTTGCTGGCCCAGATGCTTTTTTGTTTTATTTGTTAGTTTTTTTGAGACAAGGTTTTTCTGTGTCCTGGCTGTCCTGGAACTCACTCTGTAGCCCAGGCTGGCCTCAAAATCACAGATATCCACTTGCCTCTGTCTCCCAAGTGCTGGGATTAAGGTGTGCACCACTACTGCCTGGATTTTTTTTTAAGACAGGGTCTCTTACTGGCCACTAGGGTAGACTAGCTAGCCAGTGAGTCCCAGGACCTGCCTGTCTCTGCTTCTCCACTTCTGGGATTACAAGCACATGCTACTATATTTGGCTTTTGAAAGTTGTGAGTTCTAAGTGTAAAATTCAGGTCTAACAACTGAACAGTCACCCCAGCCCTTAATATGATATTGACATAAAAAACTAGATACATCTTTATCACTCCCTGACTCTCTTGAGAACGTCTCCTTGTGGGGGGCCATCCATACTGAAGACAGGGATATAGAAATTGAGAAGACTTTAGAAAAACATTACTGAAGAGAGGTAAGATGGCTGAGTTGCTAGAGTTACTGCCAACCCTGAGAACCTGAGCTCAATCCGTGGGACACACAAGATAAAAGGAGAGACTGACACCTGCAAGTTGTCCGATGACCTCTATACATGCTGTGGCACATTCATATACTGCTCTGCCCTGCCCCTTGATACGTATAAATTAAAAAAAAAAATGTTTTTTGTTTTTTGGAGACAGGGTTTCTCTGTGTAGCCCTGGCTGTCCTGGAACTCACTGCATAGATCAGGCTGGCCTTGAACTCAGAGATTCACCTGCCTTTGCCTCCAGAGTACTGGGATTAAAGGTGACACCACTGCCCAGCTATTTTTAATTTTATTTTTTTTAATTTTTAAAATATTATGTGTATGGATGTTCTGCCTCATGTATGTCTGTGCACCACATGTGTGCCTGGTATCTTCCAAGGTCAGAAGTGGGCACTGGACCCCATGGAATTAAAGTTACAAGCAGCTGTGAGCTGCCATGGGGATGTTGAAAATTAACAGGTTCCTCTGCAAGAATAGTAAGAACTCTTAACCCTTGGTCCATCTCCCAAAATACCCACCGGTCTTTTTTAAAATAAATAATAGAAGAATGGTTATTCTAAAGACTCAGGGGGATATCTCGGTGAAAGAGTGCTTATCTAGGATATAGGAGGCTCTAGGTTCAACCCCAGTAGTTCCAGGGGAAAAAAAGGAAAACAATAATGGACAATCTAAGTGAGTTCTTGAGTGACAGAAGACTATTAAAATACATATACACAGTGCCATGTGGCGGTGGCACATGCCTTTTATCCTAATACTTGGGAGGCATAGACAGGTAGATCTCTGAGTTCAAGGCCAGCCTGGTCTACAGAATAAGTTACAGGACAGCCAATATACATGCATATGTGTATATATGTATGTATGTATTGGTATGTAGTGGTATTTGCTCCACCCATGACCTTGGGCTATAGGGCCCAAAGGAGGTGGTGATAATAAATATGAATACTTAATGTACAAAACAATAACCCTTCAGAGCAATCTTAATGCCATTCAGATTATTTCTAAGGAGGAAAGATCATCTCTAATTGATAGAATAGTTGTGGAAATCATATGTTTCAGATGAACATAAAAAATTGTATGAGTCCATGAAATCTCTAGAATCCTTTACAACAGAGGAGGTTCAAACACACACAAGAAATAACATCGCGCCGGGCGGTGGTGGCGCACGCCTTTTGTCCCAGCACTCGGGAGGCAGAGCCAGATGGATCCCTGTGAGTTCGAGGCCAGCCTGGGCTACCAAGTGAGTTCCAGGAAAGGAGCAAAGCTACACAGAGAAACCCTGTCTCGAAAAACCAAAAAAAAAGAAATAACATTGCCAGGTGGCTCTTATAAAATGGCTTATCCTGTCACCATCCATGAGAAGCCAGCAGATGATACACATCCTGAAGATTATATAGAATATATCTAGCAACCTATTCATATGAGGGATTTAAAACACATTGGGGAGGCTGTACTTACCTATGGCATACATTCAACATATGTAAAACAGTTGTAAAATACATGGTCTTCTAGAAATAGAATTATACCAGATAACTGGAATCAGTTAATTTCAACTGTGTTAGAATATAGCTAGCAGTTACAATGGAAAAGCTGGTCGAGAGAAGCAAAGGCCCTTGAGCAGCAAGGTAAAATTGGAGGTTTTGAGATCTCCGAAGATCAAATTCTTGGTGAGAGCCATTTTGCTGATATAAATGTAGAAGGTACCTTTGATGAGCATACATTCTCTATGCTGTATAGCAGCTTTAAATGCTTGTGAAAAAATTTCAGAAACAGGGAAACCAACTGAGCTATATATGAAGGTCTTCCAGGGGTCAAAAGAACCATTTACTGATTTTTTTTTTTTTTTACAAAGACTGACCAAGACTATAAACAAGACAGCATCACAACAAGAATTAAGATAAGTATTAACTCAATCTTTGGCTTTTGATAATGCTAATACAGAATGCAAAAGAATACTTACACCTTTAAAGGTCAGGTCAGCACCTTTGGAGGAATGGATTCAACATACAAATGGTGCTGAGTCTCTTAACTATGGTAATGAGGCTTGGATAGGGGAGGCGATTTCCAAAGGTGGAAGGAGGCATCAAGGTAACAAACATTTTAACTGTGGTACACCAGGTCATATAAGAAGAAATTGTACACAGGTGCTCCAAGAAGTAATGCTTCTTCTAGAAATAACCCAAACAGGAGACCCCAATCTACTGGATTATGCAGATGTGGCAAAGGCTGACATTGGACCAATGAATGCAGATCAACAAGGGACATATGATGCAACCCTTTACCAGTGGAAAATGCCTTGGGGGGCCTTTCTCAGGCTCTCAAATCAAACATGGTCCAAACATTTCCAGCCACTGCGTAGGAAATTCTTTCCCAGGACAATTAAATGACCCAGTGCCTAATGTAAAGAATGACACTGCACTGGATGATAGAACAACTTTGATAGACGGATCAAAAATTACAAAAAACACCATAAAATGAATATTTTGGCAGACTTCCATAAATGAACAAAGACCAAAGCTTAGAATGTGAATTAACAACATTGTCCTGAAAGGACTGGTGGACACAGGTGTGGATGTGACTATAATTACACCAAAATCATGGCATCTGAATTGGCCTCTTCAAGAGGTAGGGATTGGAACCCTATTTCAGGTAAAACAAAGTTCTAGATGGGTTGAATGGATAGGGCCAGAAGGACAAAGAGGAAGGCTGAAGCCATATGTAGATGTAGCAGTGAATCTTTGGGGCAGAGATCTGTTACAGCAATGGAATACCCAGATTAAAATTTCTCCAATCTCAGAAGTGGAAAATAGACCAATTCATGTTTCTGGAAATAATATTATAAGATACTATAAGAAACAGCCACCAACCATTTAGGCTGTATACAAACAGAGCACAACTGCCATTGAATTCTCAGAAGTACCAATGGCCCTACCTTTAAAATGTCTAACTGATGAACCTATCTGGGTTGGACAATGGCCTATGACACAAGAGAACTA